GGACGATGCCTAATATATACAAACAATACTTTTGAAATTTAAACAACGTAACCTTTTTCTGTAGGTAGAATAACAATTTATGCAGTGATGAGTATTAGTTTTCTTCTTTATAAATCCCCATTTATCGCCACGTTTTGCAAACTGAAGATAAATAAATAGAGGTAAGTGCCTTAAACCAGATCCCTACCCTAAAGCGGACCCATAGACGCACTGGCGATGCATTCTCTGATACTCTATCATCACAAGTGTAAATAGTATCTGATGAGTGTATAAAAACTTTATCTGAAGTCACTTGAAACACTGTGAAATACCGGGTGCGTTTTATATATCTATATTTAACACGCTCTGTTGCTGCAAGAATCGCCAAATTTCACAGCAAATATCCCCCCTATAAGATCAAAGGCAGTTTCACCGGTCCACGTGGAGTAAAGCACGCCTATGCATGGACATAGCCAATGAGAAAGCGTGTATTTCAGAGCTCCGAACAAGTGCAGGTGGCTACTGAAAATTGAAACAGTTTAGCCAGTGCCGTGTAGCGGTGAATAAACGTGTTTTCTTTAGTCTGTCCGTGTTTTTTCATAGATTTTATTAGTTTGTGTGTTTTTGACTTTTGAATACTCAGTTTACTTGTTGATTTAATTGTTGTGTTGATTGTTCTTGTGTGTCCTAAATATGGCTCTTTGGAGACCTTGGGAAAATACTCCAAGCCACGAGGAGATGGTTGATGAACCTGTGCAGGCAGAATTCTTTCATAAAGATTTAGAGGAACAGACCCAAAGAGTAATCCTAAATATGTATGATTGTCTGAAAAACGAAAATCCAGATTCCTCGCAAAATCAAATTTTAAACAGAATTTGTATCCTGACAAAAATCAGTCGGTCTACCATTTATCGGGTTATAAAAAGGGGAGATGTAGTCAACCATTCCTTCCACAGAAAGCGCATAGGGCAAAAATTAAAAAGAATAGACGTGGGTTTTCAGGAAGATATTCGTCGTATAATATACGGATTTTATAAAGCAAATTTGGTGCCCACGTTGGAAATGATACGGGATAAATTAAAAGATTACCCTGAAGATTTTTATAATTACAAATACTTAGACTCACTGCACTGTATTGTAAAACTGTGTGGTTTTCAATACAAAAAATTAGATAAAAGAATGCTGATTATGGAGTCGTCTTGAATCGTTGAATTGCGCCAAGAATTTTTGCACAAAGTTAAAATCTATAGAGAGCAGAAAAGAAATCTGATTTACCTGGATGAAACGTGGTATGATACCCATGATGTTGTGCAGTACGGCTGGGTTGACGACAGCAACAAGTGCATTTTAAATGCACCATGCAACCGTGGAAAACGAATCATTATTCTCCATGCTGGCAGTGAAAATGGATTTATACCTAATGCCTTGCTTCCCCAAATTCAGTGATTATTATGGACAATGCGCCATACCATTCCCGACAGAAAAACAAAATTCCGAATACAGGCACAAAAAACAAGACATTATTGATTTTATGAAGGATAAGGGAATGGAAATACCACAAAAATCAACCAAAGCCATATTATTGGATCTTATTAAAAGACAAACATTTGAAAAAGAGTATGTTGTTGACAATCTGCTTCAGCAAAATGGCCATGAAGTATTACGTCTACCTCCCTATTACTGCATTTTTAACCCGATTGAATTGGTCTGGGTTGCTTTAAAAAAAAAAAGTAAGAAAACATAATCAGACCCCTCAATTAAGTGAATCGCTATTGGCCACAATAAGAGATGCAGTATCTCATATTGCTGTCACAGACCTATGGAAGCAGTGTTCTAGGCATATTATTGAAAAAGAAAATGAATATTGTGTTTTGCCTCCTGTAAATCCCGTTGTAATTCCTCTACAAGATGACTCTAGCGACAGCTCCGAAGGCGAGGATGATATATAAATACCTATAATGTAAGTCTTTATATACCTACCTTTTTATATACCTACCTACTATGTAAATATTTGCCTATGTCAAACGTTGGAATTCTGTAATTTTTCCATTTCTTAACTTTCAGTCAACATAAATTAAACTCCCAATATAAGTATTTTTTATCCCAAATGAAAAAATAAGAAGATAGTAAAATCCATTTATTGTGATATAAAAACATTATTATTATCGTTCTAAATAAATGACCGCACGCCTATGTTACGTCATGAAAGTACAAAGGACGCGCCGACCAAAGGTTTTTATGCTATTTCAAGTGACTTCAGATAAAGCATACATCATATGTAGTTTGTTCGTCCACCATTATTCGTGTTAACAGTGGAGAAAGTTTTAGTGCAGTCCTGGAAAGTAAGCGTTTATACCTATACATATTACAGGTTTAATTAGATTAAAATTGGTCATTTGACATATTTCCGTGGATTAGACTGAAGCGACGATAATCTTTGCAAGTGAAAAAAGAGATCTTGGACTCATTCTTCAAGATATAGATGTAAGACTATTTCCGGCTGGTAAAGGCAAGACGGGCTAATGTCCCGCCAGTGAGGGCGAGGCAGGTTGATTTCCAGTGTCATTTGAGCTTGAAATAGTCTCTAAGTGTAACTTTACCTCTGTTAGTTGAACCTTGAAAACATTAATTTGACCGTGAGGTTATAACCAAGATCAGAATGAAGGTCACCATCGGATGGTCCGTTGGATGCCCTCCAATTTTCGCAGTATATGTTCTTCTTACTCCACCTATCCGCTGTTTCACAACGTTCTTTGAAAGAGCAACAATTGACCTAGAAATAATCTCCAGATATAACTCTAGCCCCTATAATATCTATACTACTGAAAATGATTTTTTTGGCTTCCAATTTCTGCAAGAAAATGGGGGTTCCCATTTGAAAAATTACTTACTCTTGAAATGTCCAACAAGCTGAATGTTAACGTCAAATCGTAAATCACCGTTAGATGCGATCTTTGAAAGATGCCCGATTCGCACACCCTTTCATGTATTCTCATGAATGTTTATTTGTTTAGTATAATGCGATGAGGGTATCTTTCTTCAAGAATAATAATAATATAAATTGAAAAAAGTCAGTGATGCACAACTTTTTTGTCACAGATATTGGTTAGGGTGTTTTTTTAGCACCCCACTGGACTTAATAATTTCAATCTAATCGAGGCTTAATAAGTCCCTTACTGTCCTTAAGACCACTGCTGAATTGGAGCAAAATCGACTGAACGTTTATTGAGAGAAAGAAAAAAAAACTATTTTTTAAAAACGGTTTGACTCCCTTTATCTTGAACATGAAGCATTTCTGGATCTATGCTTATATGAATTTTTCATCTTAAGATTTCTGAAATTCACTTCCTGAAGCTAGGCCACGTACTTATATAAGACCCTGTATAGATTCTTGATTCGTTTGACAATTTTTAGGTTTTAGTTAATCATGTAGATATTAATTCTCAAAATATTGACCTTCAATTACAATTTACGAACGCGTGAAGTAAATTACGCTCTACATACAAAACATTGTAAGCTTTCAAGACATACGATTCTTCTTCTGTAACCAATAACAAAATGTGGATCTGGTTTTGGGCACTTTTCTCTATGCGCGATCACAATAACCACAATGATTAACACTTATAGCTAAAAGCTCTTCACCTGTCTATAGATTGGTACTAAAATGAAAGAAAGTGACTAACATATTGTACGCCGCTGTGCACCTATGGGCGTATCTCACCATACACAGTGACGTACAATGCGTGATGCTACTCTTATCCATTTCAATGCCTAACAATGGAGCGCGCAATCACTTATATTTTATTTAAAATGCGGAATACATTTTCAGCATGCTTGAACTTAATTGGTAACGAAGTATTATTCTACCTGCGCTTGATTTAACGCCAATTTTGAAATAACTTCGTCAAATAAAAACATTGGAGAGGTTAATGATTAGTCATAGTAGATGATGATATAATCGATGTGTGTGTGAAACATTCAACAAATAATGCATCGTTGAGCATTCATTATCCAGTAAAATATTATTATATGTACACAATATCATTTCCTTAAAAGCCGCTTTATTTTGGTGCTTTTGTGATTTTATAATATTAGCCTTTGCGCTAACTATAGCTCGGTAATTAACAGTCGTCTTTAATGATACGATAATAAAAGGTTCTTCAACGAATGAGCGCTTTCCAATAGGTTCGTTATTATACGTTTTTGAATGTAATTTTGGAGTAGAGAAATCGTCAGAGGACGCGAAAATCTAACTAACATACAGCTATAGTTAGCCAAAGGGCTATATTGCGCTTATGATTGTTCGATGTCCCTAATCCAACAAATCTAGTGAATTACGCAAACTTCAAGATAATTTTTACAAGCCCCCGAATAAGCAAAGTTATCCAGCAGCTCTAACAACAATACGAAACTGGTGCTTGCTTTAGACTTAGAATGATGATGAGAAAAAATTTCTCCTTTTCAGTAGGCAGTTTTACATACCTTTTAGAACAGTAATGGACGGAAGAATGGATGGTTAGATAGTCTAAGTGGAGATACATGATAAAATGAAGTGTTAGCTAGTTTTGATGTCTACTAGGAAAACGTGATCTAGAAAGATGTTAGTAGAAGCAGTCCACGTGAAGGTATTAATTTCATCGATTTCAGCAATCTGTTCATGTCGCATTTATCTGACTTAACTTCAGATCTCCTGATCACTTTCTGCTTGGATAACTCGCTTATACTAATACATAAAGGGCCGTCTAACACCAAAATTGAACAAAACTTCAAGACTACCTTCTATAAAATATTTATAGCCTTCGTATTAACTTTGTTGCAAATGCAGCTCGCGCTGGTGGATACCGTTCTTTCTCCTTCAAAAACATTCCATGAGTTCAAGTATCCACCAACCTAACCTTATAATCACAACGTGCTACTGCTATTCTAACGAATGTCAGAACGTAGGTGTGACTTCCAGATCATAGCTACCTTAGTACTCTAAGCTCCTCTCTTTCTTCCCCCCCCCCCCCCCAATCCAAACACCCGTCCCTACATAACCGGGCTACGCCAATAGCAGCGGTTGTCATGTCCCACCCTCTCTCCCTCTTCGGCTTCTGTTGTGCCGCCCACCAAGCTAGACACACAGCCACACTCTCTGCTATTCCTGCGCATCACCACCTCATCCTTTCCTAGCTAACACGACCAAACTGCAGCAATAGTGGTATTGGCTGTCTCATCCCATGATTTCCGAACGAGACTCCGCCCATCTGCAGTAATACCCATACTGTCGCTTTTACCAAGTCATCGGATGTGGGCGTGGCCTAATCCGAATACCCGCTGCCAGTCAGTACGACCGGCTGCGCCAATAGCGGCTCTTGCTGTCCGGTTCTCTCCCCACTCCTTCGGTTTCCATTGCGCCGCCCACCGATCGAGACTCCGCTCATCTGCAACAGTCCGCTGCTATTGCTCTTGCGAATCTCCGCTTGTGGGCGTGGTCTTTGCAGCAGCGGTGACGTCGCGCGCGGCGATTCCTCACCGGAGTCGAGACTGTCTGGGGAGACGGCGCGATCTTTTCTCTTCAGGCTCTGTTCTAGGCGTCTTAGGAACCTAGCGAAAGGGAACTTCTATTATTTCAATATCGTATCCAAAATCTTTCGAAGAGTGAGATATTTGGGAACAAGGTGCATCAAGACCTACGGTGTCTGCGAGAAGGCGTTCCATTGATACTTTAGAAGAGAAGTCATGCAACAACGTATGTTCTAAAAGTCTTGGCACAACATTCGTCGGCTTTAATTTCAACAACCGCAAAATAATATCTAGTTACATTTGGAAACAAGAGTTTGTTCACTTACTTTACTGTCAGTTGGCATTTTTTTTATTTTGAAGTTTTCGCTTTAAGATGTCGCATAAATTAGAAATAAGAAAAAGTATCTACAAGTTGGTCGGGTTGGTACCCAAAGTTGAAATCTTTTGAATTTTCCAAAATGAAAATATTTGACGCAGAATTATTTATCGAACAATAGCGGAGTGCGAGCAGGAAATATACTAAGTGACATATAAATCCGAACACCCAGTTTAAATGGTTTTATTTTAATAAAATTTTGTATAAGTACTTAATGAAGCATAATAAGTAAATCATAAAAATTTCAAAATGATTGCACCGCTTTAAAGCCCTTTGACCTTTAATAATGTGTGGATGCACCCTGATGTGCTACGCATTCTCCAACGCGCCTAGGCATGCTTCTGATCAGGTGGTCAATGTCCTCCTGTGGTATCTCATTCGAGGTAACCACCAACTCCTCTCGAAGTGCTTCTAGAGTCTGAGGAGGACGTTGCAAATTGAGCAATCTCCTACCCATCATATCCCACACGTGCTCAATTGGGGATAAGTCGGGAGATCTTGGTGGCCATGGTAACAATGTGACATCATTATGTTAAAAGAAGTCTATTGTGACTCTTGCAACATGTGGTCGGGCATTATCTTGTTGGAAAGTTGGATCTGCCAGGGTGTCAAGATAGGGTAAAAGATGGGGTTCTAGAACTTCGTGGATATAACGCTGCGCGTTCATGTTACCTCTGATGAAGATTAAAGGTGACCTGGAACTATAAGCTATAGCACCCCAAACCATAACTCCAACAGTGTGATGAACATGTCTTTCAACAAAAAACTGTGGATTCCTCCTTTCACCACGTCACCTTCTAACCCTGGCACGACTATCGTGCATGCCTAAACAAAATCGAGACTCGTTACTAAAGACAATACTGTTCCATTCCTGATCCCAGAGTGACCGTTGTCTGCACCACTCAAGGCGATTACGTCGGTGTTCTCGAGTTAAAGGGAGGACCCAGTGTGGCCGGTATGAAAACAAGCCAAAACTTCTCATTCGTCGGTAAACACTTCGCATGCCAATAGGTCTTAAGGCCAGTAATCTTAGGCGGCGATCTTCACGGTCTGTTGTTCTACGGCGGCGTCCAGTGCCCCTTGCTCTTTGCGTACGGCCTTCTCGAAGCCATGCCTGACAACGCCTAACCACAGTGTCTACACTTCTTTGCACTCTAACTGCAATTGCCCGAAAAGAAAGTCCAGCTTCCCGAAGTCCCACTATACGGCCCCTATCAAACTCACTAAGTTGACGAAATCGTACAGGTCTCCGTACTCTAGGCATCGTCACCGATCGTAAAGGATGTCAAGAACCAAAATCCGCCAACGTTGATTCTTTACTGCGGCTGAAATATTCATTTTTAGAGAGTTAGTGAATTAAAAAAAAAGCAGTATAAAAACCGGAATGTCCAACTGATAAGGCTGAAAATTTTTTCACTTGTTATCTACAGTAAGATAAATACATTCACCAACTCTTATTAAAATAAAACCATTTAAACTGGGTGTTCGGATTTATATGTCACTTAGTATACTATGTCTTTGTCAAAAAAAAGTGAAAGACCACGTGTATGTAGTGCGCAGAGGTTAGAGAGATTGGTGAGGAGAGCAAAAAATCAGGTTGGAATGTCAACAAGAAGACTGGCTAGACAATACAGATCTTTTTTAAGAGTACGATATCGTTGGAATAAATAAAAAAATGTTTTGTGCCAAAACGTCTAGGACATACGTGACCATGTGAGAAACCTCAACGGTATTAATTTAGTCTGGACGTTCCAAAGAATACCTATCAGCGTCAATATTTTTAAACTATTTTTTTTTAATACAGGATCCGCGAAGAAGCACTGGGGTCCCTTGTACGAGATATAGAGACAGACGGAGACACGTGTGTTCAACATCGTCTCAGCGAAAGTAACATACAACGGTCACAGACTAGAATTCTGCCTAACAATGTTGCCAAATCATGGTGTATTTCCTTGGAAGCATTTCTTGAAATTAATTGAATATTCTTTTCCAAGCCCAAGTTAAGGAAGTAGATGCAGATTTCCGTACTGACAAAAAATATCTGCCAATCCGCTACGCTGGATACCTATCTGTGGGGATACCCATAATAGTCTATCTACTCTTTATTCTTTCGCGGTTATGACTCTGATTCTGTCACATTTTTAGAGACTGCTGACAAATAGCAATAAAAATACAGGCAAACTTGTATAATTGTTTTGCTGCTTCCTAATTTTCGCACCAGAAGAGAACAAGAGCAGGTATCCAAATTTAGACCCTGGAGCTTATATCACAATATTATGATGGCAATAATTTTCAAAGTAATACTGTAACTTTTTCATTCAGACTTTTTTCTATTTTTGTTTTATTATACTCGCTATTTGCAGGGCAGTGCCGTCAGGCCAACAGGGCAGTTAACAGAAATTTGAGTCACGCATTTTTTGATACTTACAGTACTGACAGACTGAAAGTAGGCTTTACTGAGTGAAATCAGAAAAAAATGTGTACATTAGAAATTGCTTTATTCACAGTTATTGTAGGTACTGAAAGATGTATGTACAGTAATGTACCATATTTCTGTATATTTTTGTTTTCTTAATCTTCATCATGTTACTCCCATTTCAGTCCAATGTGAGCTTAGTGACAACCACTACTCAGTGTGCCAATCCACTATAGTCGTTCAGCAATTTTCTTGATTTTCGCTCAAGGGTCGGTTCCACTTCCACCATAGAAACTTGGCAACAGAGGTTGCCAGCTGCTCTAAATCTCTTATGCACATTTAACACGGGACCTCAATGACTTTGCCGACCGTGTACTTTTTTTACATCACAACTACTGACTACGTGTGCTCGTCTACTCTACAATATTATAGTGCGATGTGTTAGTTACTGTACTGCGCATCTATAAAAAAATGGGCGTTGATCTTCGGTCACGTAGAGAGTTTGTCTTGTCGAAGATTTATTTAGCATCTATGCTACAATGTCAATTTTGTATAATTATTCGTTTACTCATCTTTTGAATCAATTTTATGTGATTTTATACAGCTGTCTATTAAAATTACATCACTATGCATTTTGGATATTCATAAAGTGATTTCTTAATTTTACCTTGAATATTTTAAAATTATTAAACAATGTTTAATCATTATTTATTTTACTAAATTCGAATAATCTCGTTTGGAATACAGATTTTCTAGTTATGCTACTATTACAATTTTACAGATAAAAATCTGTACTACCTCCATTTCATAGTTATTGTATTGACTATTTAATTTTGTAAATATATTCTAAATGTGGTGGTAATAAATTATTTTTTAATTTGAATATGAAAATGAGAACTAAATAGCATATTAAATATCTAACATTCAACTACTGTAGTTCTAACAGAGATTTAACCATAGCATATTTGTTTTTATTAAAAATGATTTTTATAGCTTTATTTTGTAGAATTTGATATTTTGAAAATTTTCATTTGTTGTAAGCAAGATGGTTGAACAATAACAGAAATCGGATTAACTATTAACTTGACCCCGAAGGATGGATAAAATGCTTTTCGCATATACAAAATATTCAAGTTATCTTTGGAGATGCAGCAATGAAATAAAATGAAAATTCTAGAACAATGGATGCCATAACCGCATAAGTTATACGAATCAAAGATTTTAAATTTTAAATTAAAATAAATTTTGTTTGAAAAAACTAAAAGCAATTCTGTTCATTAAGCACTTTACTTTCGCATGACGAAATTCGTTGGTTGAAGGCACGTTTTACAGAGAAATACAGTGGTTACTGTAGAGCCCATACCACTCAAAATCCGTGGCGGAATATGGAGAGAAAGTATTCAGGACTTTATAAATACGCAGTATAGTACAGTACTTATGATTTCTAACATAGCACCTACGAGAACTTACCTAATCTGATGACTAATTGCACGCAATCTACTAACTTTTTGATGACTATAATGAATCTTAGAAAAATCTAATGTGTTTGGCAATGAAGGCGATTCCTGCACATCCTAAAAACAAAACCGATCATGAGTCCACATCCCTTCTAACTAAGGAGGAATTTAGAATGTATCTACAGGAAAGCGAAGAGATATGTGCCATTCCCATGTAGAAGAGAAAGAGAAATGTTAGAATTTGGTAGGCAGGGTCCAGGGATGCAAAAATCAGGTAGTGTCACTTGGCTCTTGTAATTGCTGACGTCATCCAAAGTACAGTCAGCATAGGCGTCCGCAAAAGGATGCCAGGGGGATAGTGTCGCGCCTGAGGATCCAGGTACGCTCTAAAATTTACTCATCTGAGATTTTTGAAAAATATGCTAAGTGACATATAAAATTCATCACCCAGAACTATTTATTGAATTTTGATGAAAACTTGTAAGCGTATTTGCTATCGTGTTAGTTTAGACCTTTTCCCCATCGAGCATGTATGGGACATGATTGAAAGAAGGTTGCACAATTCACAAAAATTGTAGGCTCTACGAAACCAAATTCAGATGACCTGAGATACAATAAACCAAGAAGACGTCAATCACCTAATCCAATCAATGACGCGACGACTTAACGAATGTGTAGCGAAGAAGTTTCAACATTAAGCTATTTGCAAAATTTCTAGTTGCAATTTTAATCACTTCCTACTTATCAGCAGACTTGAAACTTGTAAAAGTATGCTCAAAATGACAGCACTTCTAGTCGGTGTTGCATTTTCTATGACGTTTAGCATATTTGGTACATTTTCTAGGGAAACCTGCTACCCTACTATATTCAAAAGCTTTTGGAACCTGTGACATTATCACAATATACAAAAAGCTTCCTCGCGATGATTCTAATCGCCTGTACCTCCCTGGAAAAAAGCCTGCTAGTGAGCAAGTCGGCAAGACCAAATTATCTTCAACTTCCACATCCTTACTACGAAACTACAATTGAACTGTTCGATTGCAGTTTATCACATAAAATCGCCGTGTATCGTGCTGGATTCCATTTTTGGCAAAATTCGTATTGCACACTATACTACAATTATTTAAAACTGTAATGACTCATACGCGTGATCAACACGTGATCAGAGCTCGATCCCAGCTTCCTTCCAGTACAGCCGGATAGCGTACGACATATGTCGTTTCTGTGGTTTTGCGGTGGTCAACAGCACAGACAGAGATGGAAATAATGGCTGATTGTTCTCCGCCGGTAGAACCAATGAAATCAAAGACGCGCCTCGATCGGCAGACTCATAGACGTCGGCAACGCATTCGAACGTGTTTCGTTGAGCGATCGCATATTGTGTGTTTTTATAAGAATTGTTGTGTGATTGTTATTGTTGTGGTTTCTGTGGTTACTGTTTTGGTTATACTTAACCATGGAGAGTACAAATGGCACGAGTGGAAGTACTGAAAGCCAGGGAACAAGTAGACGGCTTCGTAAAGCACTGAAGAGTGAAGCGAAAGAAATCGTGCTCAACGTGTTCAATTATCTGAACAGAACTATGTCGCAGGGAGATGCACTCGCGCGTTGTGAAAGTATGACAGGCGTTCCAGAGTGGACCATTCGCAGGGTGGTGCATGAAAAGAAGAAAACTGGAGCTACTACTGATCCAAAGTTTAATTTGAAGGGGCGAAAGGCCGTTAAATTGGATGACGATAACAAAATGGCATTAAGGCGAAAGGTCAAAGATTGATCGTAAATCATATTGGTAGAGATAGTGGCTTTTTAGAAGAGTGTGACTTGATTTTCGTCTCTAAGAAAGGAGGTGATTACCATGACGAAATGAATGCCAGCTGCTCCGAGAGCTGGTTTCAAGGGGTGCTTCAGCGAGTTGAGCCCAACTCTGTGATCGTCATGGATAATGCTTCCTACCATAGTCGTCGAGCCGAACGTGTACCGACTATGGGATCTCGAAAAAGTGACATGCAGCAATGGTTGCGCGAAAAAGGAATCCCGTTTGATGATCCATGTGTGAAAGCGGAATTGTATGAAAAAATTAAACAGCACAAACCTGCGAACATTGGTTACGTGACTGATGAGATGGCCCGTCAATGTGGTGTCACTGTGCTGCGGTTACCACCCTACCACTGTGAACTGAACCCAATAGAGCTCATCTGGGCTCAAGTGAAGGGTTATATTGCGCGCCATAACACAACCTTCAAATTACCAGACGTTAAGGTTTTACTTGAGATTTCCATACAGCTAGTAACGCCCGAAGCTTGGCGGAATGCTATCCGTCATGTTGTGAAGGAAGAAACAAAAATGTGGCAGCTTGACCACCACATCGACACCATCATAGAGCCAGTTATAGTCAATTTCAACGAGGAAAGCGATAGCGACAGTTTATTACTGTCAGATGTAAGTGGAAGCGACGATGAATAAAGGTAATTCCCAAATTTTTGACTTACAATATGTTTCAAACCACTCTTTATTAAGCATGTGACAAATCTAGTTCACCCATGTTAAACATTCATACCCCGCCTATGAACAGCCGACTACTGGTAGTTAAGTGATGTTCACCTGAACATCGATGAGTCATTACAGTTTTAGATAGTTATAGTATAGCCATCATTAGCTAACACCAGCTGCGTATGTTTCCGACCGTTTGCTGACCCTATCGAATACTTTCCGGCTCATAGACAGCATCGAAATCGTAACTGAACTCAAAAACCTGCTGCTGATGCTCAGAAAAGCAGCCAAATGTGATATTGATACATGTTCATACCACCTCGTAATATCTTGTTCCAAAAGTATACTCGATTTAGTATCCAACGAGCCTGCAACCCACAAGGCATGCTAGCGAATTGCGGGTTGCAGTAACTCAGGCAAATATCAGCAAACTGATTGTTGGGCTATTCGCCAGGAGTGCATGCGGTAGACAAAACTTGAGACATCCACCTGCAGATAGTGGAATATAGGCATGGTTTTGTATGGTAAGAACCTACTGAATGATATGTTGTTATTAGAAACTTGTTAGGTATTGCAAGTAGTATAATTCACCGGAAATGCTGCGCTAGGCAAAGGAATGACCGAGCATTCGTTGCAAGAAATTAAGAGATATAAACAAGGTATTACATGGCAAAATCTGTCATGTAGGATCAATTGATGCCTGGAAAAGGTGCAAATGTTCCGCTTTCATCATTTGCCAGTCTGATATTCAAATTGTTATTGACCTCAGATCGACTAAACGTCTATTATTTTCATTAATATCCAGTTATTTCAATATAGCGCTAATTATGGCGCTCATCGTATGAGTTGACTGAAAAGCATAGGTAGCGTCCGTCAGATAGAACGCATGTTTTTTAAATGAGTAATACAGTCAAAATAAGTAAGGGAATTTTTTTTTATTATATCAAAACACTCAGAAATACAATGAGTTAAACAAAATTTACGTTCTAAAAACTATGTCAGCCATATGCCGCCCTTGAGCCGAAATGCAGGAATCAAGCCTCCCGAAATGAGCCCACAGCATCGGTCAGGATCCGTGCAGGAATTTGGGTAACTTCTCGTCTTATTTCCTCCTTTAAATCGACGAGGGTCCGAGGCTTGCTTTGGAAAACTTTGGATTTCAGGTACCCCCATAAAAAAATCACACGGTGACAGGTCCGGGGAGCGAGGGGGCCAGGGAATATCGCCATGACGTGAAATGAGACGTCCTGGGAATTTTTGCCGAAGAAGTTCCATCGAAGTGCGAGCTGTGTGAGATGTTGCCCCGTACTGTTGGAACCACACTGTTCTGAGACAGACACATCGACGTCAAAGTTACGGAAAAAAAGTTGCTCAGCATGTGAATGTAATGTTGCGTTCGAACGACAGACTCGCCATTTTGAAAGTAGCGACGTACAGTGAACACACGATGCTCAACGTTCCAAACCATCTGAAACGGCACTTCTACTACTATCCAACACGCCCTTCCTCACCGACACGGGACCAGCCCACTCGATGTAGTACCTATTCGAAAAACATGCGTTCTTTCTGACGGACTCGTACATATTGTAATTGTCAATGCGCATGCCGGGTTGCCATAGTCGCCAGCTGGTGTACTCTGAATGACGTCACGTTAACCGAGTAATTACGGCTCTCCAAGTGACACAATCTTCTCTTTACATCCTTGCCTAGGATCCGGCTGATACTTACATTAGCTTCCTCAGCAGAGGCTTCTAGCGATCTCGAGCATTTATCTGCTGACCAAGCTACTGGAGACGACCATCGAATGGTGTCAGGACTCGGGCTGGATGATGATAGCCTCATTTCCCTCATGGAGGTTATACTGTCTGAGCTTGATGAAGAACTGACCACTTGCGACCTGCAAATACACAAGCAAAAAATAACATCCAGTAAAAGATATACGTGACCCTTCAAGCAAATCTCATGGAAAAGCGCCCCCGGATCACAATAGACAGAATGTAGGTGCTGTCTATGAATATTTTGTCTGTAGCCTCAATTATCGGCAGTACTATTTGTCATGACTCTCGGGAAATGCACCATCAGTGTAATTTGTAGTCGTTTTTAAAGGTCGAAATAAGATTCTGATAAAACTTATTTACTGGAGTACCTGTTGATTCGTCGCTTAGGGCTCAACTTTCTAGGAGGCGGAACTTTGTGTGGTCCTTCCTTACACGGAATATCCAGATGGCTAAAGAGCGAGTGATGAGGTAACTGCTGTTTCGTAGGACTCGGAGTTTTGATACTGCGAAGTTGCTTTTTCTCCCTCTTTCTGCTTTGCTTTTTTGGATGCGAACTTGTCGTCAGATTGACCTAGAACAACAAAAAAGGTACCCTAGTGGTGTATGGCCATCAACAAGAAAGATTAACAGAAGAAAGTGGCGAGTGACCTTGAACATTTTATGTTATCATTGAGCTCTTGACCTTAAGGATAATTGCCTCCAAAGCCTATGTCAGTGTTTCTTAAGGCAATACATCCTTTAACAAAGCTGTTGATGCACTAATGCATTCCAAGCAAGCTTGACTTTGTCTGCGACCTCCTTGACCAAACTCATAGCTGATTGCGATCAAAGATAGGCAGAGACATTTGAGTTTCTCGATTTAGCTTCTAAGTGACCTTCATGCTCCGGGGCAAGGTCATATTCACGAAAAATTTAACTTTCTTAGAACATCATCTGGAGTTCAAACCTCTAGATTAGTCAGATCTTCGTCATCAAAGAAAGTAGCCTAGTACAGTACCAAACAAGAAGGATCAACACAGCAGCTTGTTGATTCCGTAAAGCTTCGCGTTTGATACAGTAATGTGATCCAAGCAACCTTGACCTGGTCCGTGACCTTGAAGTCAAACTAACAGGCGGAAGTAAAATTTTGCGGAGTCAAAAGTAGGCAAATCAAATGCGCGGTTATGTTCAAGAAAAGTCACCAGTTGTTGTGTTTAAGTTATTCGGAATATATTCTTCAGTTCCTATGTCTTACCTTATCCGAACTAGGGAAATCATATAGGCCATCGGAATCCGTGAAAGGCAAAAGATCCTTGTTCCTCCCGTAGAACTGCGGGGAGAACCTTCCCATACCAGTTGTCTTGTCACTCAGTGGACTCTCACTCCTGGAGCTCATCGGGCTGAGATGCTTCTCACAGCCAGGAGAGTCACATTGCACGACGATGGATGGCAGCTGCAAGGAGTTCTTGTTAGTTGTTGGAGGCGGCAGTAGGCGTTCCGTGGTATCCTCCAGGCTGCATTTGGGGGCAGCGAACATCGGAGGAAGAGGCAGGTCCAGGAGAAGTTTGCACGTTTCGGTTTCGTTCATGAACACCTGAATGGTTAATATTGGCGTTGTCAGCTTCGGAATTAGTGATATATCCATCAGTCACTGTCAGGGCCTTTGCTCTAGGTCAAAGTTATGTTATGTTATATGAAAAAAGAAGCAGAGGAAGAATTTCCAAAAGGAAGGAGAAGGAAGTTTAGAATCTCTACATGAGATAATCACGGAAAACTGTAAACTGTTATTTTTGAGCGCGAACACTGTTTCGAGATAGAGGTCTGTTTATTTAGTTGAGTTGCTTATTTTTTTTTGTTCATTGTTCATCCTCCGTTTCAGAAGAAGCATTTAGGCCCAATTTCACCATCATTAATATTATGGGCCAATGGGAAAATACCTTATCGAAACGCAATTTGACAGAGACTGTCAAAGGTCTCTGAATATTAGTGATTTCTATTGAAATATTGAATAAAATCGTGAAAATTCGACTGTATTATAAACAAGACCACTTTTTGATTCAAACATGATGCTTTTGTACAGAAAAAACAGGACAACTATCATGTATTTCGATATATGTTATAGAAAGATATAAAACAAACGCGGTATAGCATTCAAAATAAGCTAGCGCTGATCGTAGCGCACGTTTTGTAACGAAATTTTCTAAATAAGGTGCATCCAGGAGCGAGATGTCATTTTTTGATGAACATAGAACAGCTACAGATTTCTTTCATGCTTGTAACAAATTCAGATAGCAATTTTCAGTGTAAATACTTTGTTTATGCATAGGCATGACGTTGAAACACCATAATTAATACTTGTGAACATTTTCGAACGCATCCTCCCAGCCCCATCTCTAGTATTCATTTTTCCTCTCTACTCTTGACAGTTGATACATTTGTAGTGCTGCCAAGCTAATATCAGTGAGCATGAATAATATGTATCAACACACAAATGTTTGTTATGTTAACACATAGTAGTTGAACCTAATAACATTTGTTTTTCAAATCAACTCAAAATGAAGTGTGATACGACCAATTTAACTTTCATTTTGCGGATCTACCGCGATTTCAGCCTCACGTTTTTTTGTTGAGCAATTTGATGTGGTAGCACTGGACAATTCTGTGACTGGACAGCCGGATTCATGAAAGGCAGTTCTGGTTTCAAGTATAATAAAGATTGTGGTCTTTCTTTTTCTCAAGTAACACGCATTACTTAAATACTTTTATCAAAACATGAATGCCAATTCTTTGCATAAGTATCGCGCACACGCAGAGGATTTGTGTGTCAAGAAATGGTTATTACATCTATTAATTACAACATTAGATGGTAATTTAATTGACAATCGGCACGTTGATGCATATTTAAAAATATATCCTGTTTTTTAAAATTGTCTCTATCAGGTAAGGAATCCAATGTTCTTTTCAAAAAAGTGCTCAGTAATTGATGTCATATGAATATATTGATCTCCTGTTAAGAAAAATGGATCCCCAAAGACCGATGTGCATTTGAATCCTTACATGTGTTCAAACATCTATCACACATGTATAAATTTGCTCCCCAAGAATACTATTTAATCTACCTATCAAGTTTTATCCTTGACATGTTACTTTACCTCCAACTCCTTGGCACTTTTGACCTCTCCATCATCAATCTTCTCGTCAATATGATCCGTCCCGATCCCTTCATCGTTCGACTCCATCAACGGATCATCAGACAGCGTCTCGGAGTCAGACCTTCCTCTTCTCTGATCCTGCTGTTGAGGCTTCTCGTTGCTCGAACATGCCATGGCGGAGGCGTTGCTCTTCAGAATGGGCGTTGATTGTCTTCGATGACCCGCTCCGTGACCTGAGCCGTGAGGACCTTGGTCCTCCATCTCAGACGGACACAAAGGGTTGCTGGAACCGCATCTGGATGGTCCTGGACTCGCCATGGAACTGTACCTAGAGACAATTGGCTATGGATCAGAAGGACCAAACAATCAGTCAAGAACAGAATAAGTCAATAATCAATCGATGATATTAATTGCACAATCATTCAAGTAATAGATCGATGATTTAATCGCCTAATCAGTTCAATATGAAGCAATCAATTTTCAATCTACTGACCAAGTGAGACGAAGCTTTGACATCAAACTAGTCTATTCGATGAAATTTCAAATGCAGAAGACAAGAAAAACGGGTCAGCCTTTAGTTATTTCAAGGCCACTCTGTGATGCTAAATAATAATAATAAATTGCTTTTGTTCAATGCTTTTACATTGTGTATCCAAGATACAACAATAGGCGTAGCAGAGTTACGAAAATTTTGAGAATATAATCCGTGGTTTAATAGCGATCGATTGCTATACACATACGCTTTCAGTGAAAGTAATGCTAATAATCATAATAATAATAATGGTTTATTGTTATTACACAGAACGTGCTTACACAAGAAATATATACTAAGTCACATATAAATCCGAACACCCAGTTTAAATGGTTTTATTTTAATAAAATTTTGTATAAGTACTTAATGAAGCATAATAAGTAAATGATAAAAATTTCAAAATGATTGCACTGCTTTAAAGCCCTTTGACCTTTAATAATGTGTGGATGCACCCTGATGTGCTACGCATTCTCCAACGCGCCTAGGTATGCTTCTGATCAGGTGGGCAATGTCCTCCTGTGGTATCTCATTCCAGGCAACCACCAACTCCTCTCGAAGTGCTTCTAGAGTCTGAGGAGGACGTTGCAAATTGAGCAATCTCCTACCCATCATATCCCACACGTGCTCAATTGGGGATAAGTCGGGAGATCTTGGTGGCCGTGGTAACAATGTGACATCATTATGTTGAAAGAAGTCTATTGTGACTCTCTCTTGTTGGAAAGTTGGATCTGCCAGCCAGGGTGTCAAGATAGGGTAAAAGATGGGGTTCTAGAACTTCGTGGATATAACGCTGCGCGTTCATGTTACCTCTGATGAAGATTAAGGTGACCTGGAACCATAAGCTATAGCACCCCAAACCATAACTCCAACAGTGTGATGAACATGTCTTTCAACAAAAAACTGTGGATTCCTCCTTTCACCACGTCGCCTTCTAACCCTGGCACGACCATCGTGCATGCCTAAACAAAATCGAGACTCGTCACTAAAGACAACACTGTTCCATTCCTGATCCCAGAGTGATCGTTGTCTGCACCACTCAAGGCGATTACGTCGGTGTTCTCGAGTTAAAGGGAGGACCCAGTGTGGCCGGTATGAAAACAAGCCAAAACTTCTCATGCGTCGGTAAACACTTCGCATGCCAATAGGTCTTCCATGATCTGCAAACCATTCATTTGCAATGGACCTGGTAGTGGAGAAACGGTCCCTTAAGGCCAATAATCTTAGGCGGCGATCTTCACGGTCTGTTGTTCTACGGCGGCGTCTAGTGCCCCTTGCTCTTTGCGTACGGCCTTCTCGAAGCCATGCCTGACAACACCTAACCACAGTGTCTACACTTCTTTGCACTCTAACTGCAATTGCCCGAAAAGAAAGTCCAGCTTCCCGAAGTCCCACTATACGGCCCCTATCAAACTCACTAAGTTGACGAAATCGTACAGGTCTCCGTACTCTAGGCATCGTAACCGATCGTAAAGGATGTCAAGAACCAAAATCCGCCAACGTTGATTCTTTACTGCGGCTGAAATATTCATTTTTAGAGCGTTAGTGAATTAAAAAAAAGCAGTATAAAAACCGGAATGTCCAACTGATAAGGCTGAAAATTTTTTCACTTGTTATTTACAGTAAGATAAATACATTCACCAACTTTTATTAAAATAAAACCATTTAAACTGGGTGTTCGGATTTATATGTCACTTAGTATATTTGCTTCATTTCGAAAATAATTCTGTAAATGTTGATTCTGACTCAGATGTGACTTACCCTGACGAGCTCAGGTTTGACTCTGATGCATTGTGTTCTCCTCTCGTACTCATAGAAAATGGACTGAGGTATGTCATGCCTGCCGTAGTAGCAACAACATTGACAGCTGGTGAAATCGAGTCTCCATCAGATTCAGCCTGTAAGCATGAAAAAAGCATTAGTTTCCTTTGCAGAAATATGGGCTGCCTCACAACAGGATGTTCCTGAAGTTGGAACTTCTAAAGTCTACAAAGCATTCGATAGTATTACACATCAAAAATTATTAAGAATCTTGCAAAATTTAGGATTTTGTGGAGTCACTTATAAACAGTACACTAAGTGAAAATATCATTGTTAGATGCGGAGTTCTACAAGGAACCGTATTAGGACCAATGCTGTTTAATTTATATATTAATGACCGTTTTATATTAAAAAACGATGGAGAAATTATTGGTTTCGCAGACGATCGGCAATTATTTACTCAGACAAACATTGGATTTCTCTGAAAAACAAAATTGTATTAGATTTTCAAAAAGTTACAAATTTTTTCACGGAAAGGATTTTAACAGCCAATTTCAACAAAACATACTTTATTACATTTTCTTGGGACAACAGATCTTCCCCAAACTTTAATCAACTCCAAATTAAAACGTTAAATAGCTGTAGAAACATACAATCAGTTGATAATTCCAAATACCTAGTGGTATTCATAGATAACCATCTAAGATGGAATAAACGTATTGAAAATTTAGTAAGGAAATTAAGATACCTTATTCCGAAAATAAAATATTTCAGCATTTTTTTAAGCGAAAAATATCTACACATGATATATCATGCCCTTCTTCAATCGTTACTATCCTACGGAATCTTAGCATGGGGGGGGGGAGCCATGAATAATTATTATAAAAAGATTGAAATTACGCAGAAGTGGATTTTGAAAGTTATGTTGAACAAAAATAAATGTTATCCCTTAGAAAATCTTTTCAATGAATCTCAGCTTTTCGATATCCGGAAAATTTATTTTTATCATACAATAATATATTTAACAAAAAATCCAAAATTGTTACTTTCTATCAGCCTAGACTTAATAAAACTATCAGCGAAAGATCATTCTATTTCTCAAAATTTTATAATAAACATATATGTTATTTGATCGTAAAATGATGCAGATTTATACATTTGACTAGTATACTTAAAGAAAATTTGTTGTATTAATATAACTCAACTTTGGTTAAAACCCAACCACAAGTGTACACTTTTTTTGTTATATTATGTTTATTGAGCATTGCCGTTATTACTTAAACAAAAACTTTGTAATTGGACCAATAAACATTATTATTATTAATTCAAAGATGTTTGAAAGAAAATTGAAGGAATATTTGATGGGCAAGCTTAAAATTTTGTTTCTCTAAATATCGGTATGTTATGTAATTCTTGTAGTTTTTTAAAAATAATGTAATTGTTACAATCACGCTAAATAGATCGTAAACAAAGAGTTAGCTTTCTCATTAAGAATCATTGTATCCTTCAGCCAATAAAGCATATTTATCAATCTAGCTAAGCTACTATTGACATTACCTCGCTCATATTGCAAGTGATGGTAATCAAAGGTGGAGCGCTCGGTAGATCCAGCGATGTCGGCTTATCGAAGTCCTTCAGCATCCTCCTTGACGGCTTGGGAGAGGGAAAAGGAAAACAGGTATCATTGGTCCGCCTCACTGGAGGAGGGGAACCGAAGGTGATGGTAGGGAGTTGTGGGATGGTAGGTGAAGGCGTCTGTACGGTTAGGGTAGGGATGACGAGTGGTGGGGGTTCGATTGTTATCATCGGAGCGAAAAGGGATGAACTAGAAGGTGGCGCTGCTTGACCAACGGGCGACGGTCGTAGAGGCTGGAAAAGATATTATCATTTAGTTTGCGAGCTTGAAGAGGTCGAATATTCGTCACTTTCTGTTGTTTCATGTTTATTTGCTTTAGTGTATTTGTAATCAATGTCGCAATTCACTTAGTGTTTTGTGTTTCATTCATTGTAGCAATGGGAGACGAAAAGCAATAGGAGGAAAGAAATCTTTCAAGGCCCCTTTTATATATCAATTGAAGGTGTACAGTACATTAGATCTCATCATCCTACCATAAATAGGCGTCCACGAGACTCTATAGATTATTTTTTGATGGCGTCTCAAATTATATCGATATACCGAGCTTAATTCGTCTTTCCTATTTACGTCGGCGTATTGGTTGTGTAGATTACGGACCGAGATGTCAATTGTCTTGACTCCGGTTTCAGTTTTGCAACATTTTTGATGGCTTAAGTTGTGAGTTTGAACACATATAGCTATGTCTTAACCATTCCTTTGATACGTTAGCAATTATCAACTGAAAAGATCATCAAGCTTTCTCAACCACGGTGCTAATTCATGTTTATTGAAGGTCGTCAGCATGGTCCGGGTGGACCGACGATGGAAACCGGAGCAAAGTAATCTCATCAGATGTACAGGGTGTCTGGCTACAAATATGCCCCCTCTAACATTTGGAAGAAAAAGTTATGTGTGATCTACAGAGTCTAATGCAATATGTATATTTTTGTCTCAGAAAAGGGTTGATTTGTATACAAGGTGTCCGCAAAGTTGAGGTTTTCCAAGTAAAAAAAATAAAGGAAAAAGTACTCACTCTCCAGTTGACAAGAAGGGCTAAGTACGTCTCTGCCCGAAATCATACCGCTCCAACAGAAAATGAAATCAGCTGATGCGCTACCGAGCAGACGCAGGCAAACAAGGAAGGCAAAATGTTGCGTAAAAAGTCTAGGTATTGCATCCCGTCCAATCGATTTGGGAGAATGAATGGTCCAATGAGCATACCGTTCACCATGCCAGCCCAAATATTCACCGAAATTGTTTGTTGAAAATGTGCCCGACGGACAGCGTGCGGATTTTCTACCGACCAAACATGAGTGTTGCGAAAGTTATTCACCCCATTACGCGTGAACGTAGATTCGTCTGTCACCAATATGCACTTCAAAAAGTCCGGATTATTGTCATGTTGATGCAACAACCACTCACAAAACCGCACTCTTGCTGGAAAATCGTCAGGTTGAAGGGCTTGTACACGTTGGACGTGAAACGGATACAGCCCCTCTTCACGCAGCGTTTGCCACACTTTGGTTTTTGATACTTGCACTTCTCTAGCCACGTCTCTAGAGCTTGTTGAGGGATTCTCGACTACGCGATTACCTCTACACGCGTGACCGTAAATGTCGGTTGAAGGTTGCATACTGATCTGGCACGCTGACCCCGACCCAGTTCTGTCGTCGGGTTGAGCCAGTGACCTTGTACCACTTGGTGATGTCGCGGGTCGCGGCTACAGGACGGTATTAAGATATTTTTGATGTTGCAGAGCCCTTCATCTCGGTTCCCTTAAGACATTGGTGTATATGGTACTAAGAAAAATGTTTTCAAGATCTACACGTCGTGTAAGGGAAAACCCCAACTTTGCGGACACCCTGTATATTAAATTAAACAGACAGATAAAAAAGCTTTGACAGAAGTAATATTGAGAAATGATATGCTGAATCTAAAATTATAGCTTGCCCTGAATGCGCATCATATGGCTTGAATTTTCTAATTTTGAGTTGCTTATAAATATTCTGTTTACATAGCCAAACATGCAAAATAAAACTATCAGTACTACTACTACTTCTGTGACTACTACTACTATTTAAGTTTGAAAAAGGGGCATTTCCACTTAGAATATACAGGATGTTTTACCAGAAAAAATTAAACCTCATTCTATGAGACACCCGGTATGCAAAGAATGCTTACGTGAAAACTTCATATCAAATCCTATAACTTTTGTAAACTACATTTTCTTCTTGAAGGTCATATGGAAAAGAGGGTGAATCTTTAACCCGATACCCTGTACAGCACGAGTTCCATCTACCAGAACCCTCTCACCTTGGGTTTACAGTTACTCATCTGCATAGCGGCCGCCTCCTCCATGATTAACCCGTCCTCCGCTTGTGGATCGATCTGAATATCCACCCTTCTTCCACCTTCCTCGCCATCACTGCACACTGAGATGCCGGGGATCTCCACCGAGATCCTGTCATCGTCTAGCTCTAGGTCGTCCTTTGGGGGCGTGGTCATAATGGGACTCCGCCTCATAATGGGCGTGAGGGCGGGCGAAGGCAGGGGCGTCGGCATTTCGTGAATCGGCGAAAGGCACTTGTTGATTGTGCTCGGTATTTCCAGGAGAATGGTTGGCGGGTGCAGCAGGTTGCTGCTGGCGCCTTGATTCGACTTGTGGGCGCTAAGCGGATCCAGTACCTGCAACGAATGGTTAAAATATATATATATGAAGAACAGAGGCAATGTTTTCAGGACACAAAAAGGCAATCAAAAATAACGTAAAGGTTCCCATGAAAGTTAACTCTGAGAAGACTCCTTGACCGGAATATCATTTTACTCACTTCACCTTTGTCCGTTCTAGTTTGGAATATGCACCTGTCGTGTGGAATCCGTAGCACCAATGTTATATTTACTGTTACTTTAGAAGAGTTTTTTAAAATCTCCGGCATTTAAGTCTGACTCTTTTTACTCGGAGCGTGGATATGATTATTACTTGATGTTAAATAGATATGACCTTTATTCATTGGCTCATCGTAAGTATGCTCTATAAAATTCTTAATGGTGGAGTTGATACTTCTAGCATAGTTCATTGAAACCTAAATACTCAGAACCTACGAGGCTTGTATAGACAAAAAAAGCAAATGCCTCGACCGTATGTGAAGGTCGAGGCATTTGCGGATCCTCACCGGTATTTCGATGCTTTGCGAGCCCTGTCTGGATGACACAGGACTTTCTGGTGGAAGACTACAAAGTGAGATCGGAGTATGTATCGAGGATGTTGAAGAGTCATCGTCTCCAACGAGGTCGTCTTGGGGACTGGAGGCTGTAGGTGTGGTGCTTGGTGAGATCCTTAGTGAGGAAGGTAGGTTCACGCCTGCTGTACTCGACGAGAAGTTCCTATGGGGATAAATGTATCAAATAAACAGAGCGGTCTAATGGATCCTAGTTAAGCTAACAGCTTGATAAATACAAATGAGAGAGAAAAGCAGAACACCTAGGTCGAACTCAACAGTAAATTTCAATGTTATTTGAGGCTGCCCTTTGCTTTTGGATGTTCGTTGAAGGTTGAGTCAACGAAGATGCCTAGATAGGTGATCTTGAAAAATTAAGTACCTTCTGAGTACGTATGCTATTTCTCTCTGCGCTCCGTGTCTCCGAGGCTTTTCTACGTTAAACAAATTGCGTATATAATTGTGAACGAAAATAATGTCATCTGCTCCAAAGTCTAGTCTAGAAAGCTACTCTAGGCACTACTATGCCTACCTCATATCTGATACCGTCCATCGCGTTCATTCACAGTTTGAATCAATCAGAATATAGTCTCCACTTGCTAATCAAAATTGTAGACATATTCAACACAATGGAAAAAGTAATAAAAGCTCCCGTAAGTATTGTTTGACAAAGAATTCATCACGTCCTCAATCATTAAGAAACTTCGGAGATCTTATTTGAAGTAAATTTACAAAATATCTCACATTTTAAAAAAAATTCAGTACTCTTAGTTTACGAGAGGCTTCAGATAGCCAAAAATATTCCAAATATGCAGGTTTTTCAGAATTTTTTTTTGACTTTGGACTTCCGAAACTGTCGGAGATATCGGAATTTTCGGAATATTCGAAATTCTCAGATAATTCGGAAATTTCGGAATTTGCGGAGCTCTGAACTTTCTGAGTTAAAGGAATATTCTGAACTTTTGGGATTTTCGGAATATTCGCCATTTTTGAATTCACAGATAATTAGTGATTTTAAAAAATTTCGGAGTTAATGGATATTTAGAAATTTTTGTAATTTTCTGAATTTCGTATATATATATTATCGGAATTCTCGGAATTTTTCTAGATTTTTCAGAATTTTAGGATCATGCAATTTCTTTGTATTTTCGGAACTCTTGGAGTTTCCGGAATTTTTTTGGATTCTGGATTGTAGGTATCTTCGCAATTTTTGATATTTTTGGATAATTCGGAATTTTTGAAACTTTCCGATATTTCGAAGTTTTCAGATATTCCAGAATTTTCAGAATTGTCGAACCTTTAGAAATTTTCGGTACTTTTGGAACTTTGAAATTTCCGGGTACTTCGCAATTTTTACATATTCGGAATTTTCAGAGTTTTCGAAATATTCAGTGTTTTCGAAATTTTTTAATTTTCGGAGTTACGAGTTTTTGGGGTTCTTTGAATTCTCAGAGCCTTCGAAATTTTCGGAATATTCGTAGTTATCCGATAATTCAGAAGTGTCATAATATTCGGAACTTTGAACTTTCAGAATTTGTGGTATTTTCAGGACTTTCGAAGTTTTCGGAAATCTCAGAATGTCAGAAAATTTAGGAGTTGATGGAATTTTCTGAATTTTTGAGATTTCCGGAATATTCTGAATTTTGAGACTTTCGGATATTTCGGAGTTTCCAGATACTCCGAAATTTTTAGAATTGTCGGACCTTTCGAAATTTTCGGTATCTTTGGAACTTTAAAATTTTCTAAATTTTCTCATATTCCGCAATTTTCAGATATTTGGGATTTTCAGTATTTACGGAACTTTCAAAATCTTAGGAGTTTTTGGGATTTTCAAATTATTCGAATTTTTAGAATCTACAGATCTTGGAGTTTTGGAAATTCCGGATGAAATGGATTTTTCAACATTTTGGAGTTTTATGAATTTTTTGAATTTCGGGATATTTCGAAATTTTGTGTATAATCGGAATTTTCGCAATATTTCGGTTTTTTTGTATTTCCGGAATTTTTTGATTTCAGTATTATCACTTATACCTGAACATGGCGAGTATCGAATCAGCACTAGCAGGTTTCGGCCTCCCATTGGGTAGCCGGTGATGATGACTGTTGTGTCTCCGATGGATCAGCAGATCTGAAATACTCGAACTCAGCGCACTGGGTATGGCAAGGTCAGAGCTAGTGAGCGAGGTGCTACCTTGGTTGCTGGAGGTACTGTGCGGAGACCTCATGTCTGCTGAAGGAGACGGAGGAGTGCTGGATGGCCTGGCGATGGCGAGGCCCAAGCGGTTGGTCTGAAGCAGGCTCATTTCGAAGTCAGAGCCGCTGCTCATCTCGGCTGAGACTTTGTTCAGAAGGCGGGCGAATGTTACCTGTGAAGGTCAAATGAACGTTATGGACAGCAGTGTATCATGATTTAGTGTATTGCGTACCTCAAACCCGTTTGAGTCATTCCATTTGACATTAAACAACGTAAATAAAAAGTAGTTTTTTGAGCAAACTGGAAGAAATATAAAAACTCTGGCAATCTTGATATGTTGTCGATGTATGTTCTAAAAAATTATTTTAATATATAGGGTGTTCCATAACTTCGTGACATAGCAGACATGGATTTTTCAAAACAGAATACCCTTTATCTTATTGCACATTTGGATGGAGCTTCTGAAAACAAGAAGTTTGATATCACATATCATATGGTTTCTATTGTCAATTTTTTAGATATTTAATGAAATATCTGAAAAAATGGTCAACTTTGACGGCTAGCAGCTCCGCCAATTTGAAGGTGTTCAGATAGGTGCTAGTTCAATTTTTTTTATTACCGTCGTTTTTGAGCTGATCTGAGAGAAATTCCATAATTGTTTTCTATTTATTTTGTACAGGGTATCTTAAAACGCAAAATGTACTACTTCTCATACATTTTGAAGGAGCACCCTGTATAGTCCTTCATAATCAGATAGCTTTCTTTGGATTTTTTTTTGATACAAGCTTAACACTTTTTTTGAACGGTTCCGAGGTATTGCTAATAATTTGAAGAAAAAAATATATATTTCACATTTATAGTGTATTTACACCCAAGATAGAATGGATGCGTGATTGCCAAAAGCAAGTACGGCGTACAGGGCCGCATTCAGGGCTATTTCCGAATAATGGACTACCACCAACGTGTTGTTAAACAAAGATGACAGTATTTAACAGAAACAGAAACTTAAAAAATTACTCAAATACACTTAACAACAACAACAGCAACAACCAAGCAAGGTGAATACGAAAACACGAGCACGCAGTGATACACGCGACGGACGGTGGCCTGAGTGCAACTCTGCCTGCCCTGCCCCGCGCAGTATTCCGCCAGGCGACCGCTTGAAATTTAATGGCGAATTGAGCAATAAGAGGCGCTGTCCCCACCTGTTACCGAGAGATCACGCGCTGACTGTTATTATTTATACTAAGTGACAAATAAATCCGAACACCCAGTTTAAATGGTTTTATTTTAATAAAAGTTGGTGAATGTATTTATCTTACTGTAAATAACAAGTGAAAAAATTTTCAGCCTTATCAGTTGGACATTCCGGTTTTTATACTGCTTTTTTTTAATTCACTAACGCTCTAAAAATGAATATTTCAGCCGCAGTAAAGAATCAACGTTGGCGGATTTTGGTTCTTGACATCCTTTACGATCGGTTACGATGCCTAGACCGTGAAGATCGCCGCCTAAGATTATTGACCTTAAGGGACCGTTTCTCCACTACCAGGTCGATTGCAAATGAATGGTTTGCAGAACACGGAAGACCTATTGGCATGCGAAGTGTTTACCGACGAATGAGAAGTTTTGGCTTGTTTTCATACCGGCCACACTGGGTTCTCCCTTTAACTCGAGAACACCGACGTAATCGCCTTGAGTGGTGCAGACAACGGTCACTCTGGGATCAGGAATGGAACAGTATTGTCTTTAGTGACGAGTCTCGATTTTGTTTAGGCATGCACGATGGTCGTGCCAGGGTTAGAAGGCGACGTGGTGAAGGGAGGAATCCACAGTTTTTTGTTGAAAGACATGTTCATCACACTGTTGGAGTTATGGTTTGGGGTGCTATAGCTTATGGTTCCAGGTCACCTTTAATCTTCATCAGGGGTAACATGAACGCGCAGCGTTATATCCACGGAGTTCTAGAACCCCATCTTTTACCCTATCTTGACACCCTGACAGATCCAACTTTCCAACAAGATAATGCCCGACCACATGTTGCAAGAGTCACAATAGACTTCTTTCAACATAATGATGTCACATTGTTACCATGGCCACCAAGATCTCCCGACTTATCCCCAATTGAGCACGTGTGGGATATGATGGGTAGGAGATTGCTCAATTTGCAACGTCCTCCTCAGACTCTAGAAGCACTTCGAGAGGAGTTGGTGGTTGCCTGGAATGAGATACCACAGGAGGATATTGACCACCTGATCAGAAGCATGCCTAGGCGCGTTGGAGAATGCGTAGCACATCAGGGTGCATCCACACATTATTAAAGGTCAAAGGGCTTTAAAGCAGTGCAATCATTTTGAAATTTTTATCATTTACTTATTATGCTTCATTAAGAACTTGTACAAAATTTTATTAAAATAAAAAAATTTAAACTGGGTGTTCGGATTTATATGTCACTTAGTATACATCTCATCTTGAATTTGGATTCAGGTTAGACTTTTCCATGAAAACAATTTTTCTTCACACAAGAAGACGCATCTCAACCCAAGACAGTAATTCCTTATGTCATTGTTGTAGTACATTTTATTTTATTATAATTTGTTAGCCCTTGATAGCCTTAGGCTGAGATTATTTTTGTTGTGTTAATAAAAGCTATTGTTTTTATAGAAGACTTGATTTCATGTTTAATTACAAGATGTATTTGTTTTTTTTTTGAAAGTAATAGCAATAACTCAAAAACGTTTGGAAAAAACTTGGAAAAACCTGACACCAAAAAAAAGCTCACAAAACAACTATTTAACGATGTAGAAATATACAGGGTAGAAAAGTTAAAGTTTGCGTGATACTCTGTATAAATAGAATGAACTTTCAGCACTTTTTCCTAATGATAATATTTTTTTTGTGAATTAAGCAGTAAATACTTGCGAGCCGCCAAAGCTGGGCTATTTTTCAGACGTTTGACCAAATATCTAATTGATTGACAATCATGTATATCAAATGTCTTGTTTCCAGAAGCCCTATTCAGATATGCAAAAAACTATAGTGTTCTATTTAAAAGAATATATGTTTGTTATGCCACGAAGCGTTGGGACACCCTGTATATGTTAAAATAATTTCAAAATATAATTATGCACTGGTAACATATAAAGGTTGCCACTTGAACAGATTTCAGATATCTTTTCCAGTTTCCTCATTTGGGGACACCCTGTATAGCTGAGAGACCTCTGCTCTTGCTAGGAAAAAACTATACAATTTGGATGTCTCTTAAGTTAACTTCAACTCCTCTTATCTACTGTCTGTATAAATAAAATGTTATCATCAATTACTTGAATTTTAGAAATTCAGCAATTTGATGAGTTGTGGCTTAGAACTAATAACGATATTATAATCCTTTGTTCAGAAATCTCGCTTTTTACTGTGGATAAACCAGCAGTCTTGCGCTAGAACACATCTACCCACCTTCTTTTCCAGTTTTGGATCATTGAGTGCTGCAGTGGCGGGGCTCATTCCTCCAAATTTAGACTCGATTTCTTTTCCATTATCACGCGAATTTTTATTCGAATCTTCGGACTTTAGGTCGCTCAGTTGAATCAGCTCTCCCAGACTCACTTTCCGATTCTGTTTGTTGATGGGTGACACGAGATGTTGCAGGATCTGTTTCTTCTCAGCTGCGTTCTTCTTGGTCGGAGTCGAGTTGTTTCTTTTCTTTTTGGGGGAAGGAGTACCTGTTTGTGGACGTGTTATACAATTCAAATAAAATTGTCAAGCTATTTATGTGTAAATTTATTTTGTTTTTTATTTTTTTTTCTAGCATTGATTCTGTATGAGATGTTTCTTTTAGAGTAATTGATCCTGGTTATTACAAGCTGGATTAGGCTTCGAGCCATAAGTTAGAAATAGGCAAGTCAAAGACCTCACTACTTTCGTACACGTTAAATTAAGGTACAATGGTCATATTGTAGGTATACAGGGTTATCCAAATTAAGTGTCCACCATTAGTAACTTTGTTATTAGTGAAAATACAAAGTTGTTTGAATTAGCAAACTAGTAGCATTTTTAACGCTGCTAAAAATGAGAAATAAAAAAAAACAATTGAGAGTCGTTATTTTGATTTTTTTCAGTAAAATAACATTTTTTTAAATGGAAACCCCTGTATATTATATTTTTTTCTGTTAAAGCATCAAATTTTAAACAAAAAAGTTCATAATGACTTTTCCGCTAAAGTCAAAAATAAAGTCAAAATAACGATAAATATTTTTAATTATTTGCAGTATTATAATATTAAGACGGCTATGAAAACAACATGGCGTTCGCGATTTGACAGCATTAAGATAAGCGACAAATTGTTAAACTGGACATACTCGCAACTAGAAGGCTTTGGAAAACAATGATAAAATCAAATAATGTCAAACATTAGTGTAAATACTTGTTTATAAGCTTTATTGTGTCATTAATTTAAAGAAAAATGTTCTCCCATGAAGAAAAGTGTGATATGTTAGAATGCTATTTAGTGTGCAGAAAATCCTCCTTGAGAGCAGTGAATTATATCCCGCTCGCATTCAACCGTATGAACGATATTTTCTGAGACTTCATCGAAAATTTAGGGGCAACGAAAATGTTTTTGCTAAAACAAGGGCAAAAAAAGAATTCATAATAAGCGAGGCCACGGAAATTGCAGTTATTGGATATTTTGAAGCTTATCGTGAGAATTCAATAGCAGATATTCTCAAGGACTCTAATTTCAGTTATGGTACTGTTCAAAGGATTTTAAAAAAATACAAATTTATTCCGTATAAGTACCGACCAGTTCAAACGCTTTTGGCAGGGGATCCAGAGAGAAGACTTGTTTTTTGCCATTGGTATCTTAGCTTCTGTCGCCAAAATGTAAATAACTTTCGTTACCTTTTATGGACAGATGAATCAAATCTTTCAAATTCTGGGATGTTTAATAGAAAAAACCACCATTATTGGTCAAGAGAAAATCTTTTGTTAGTACATCCAAGAGGCCCACAAGTCCGTTTCAGTTTCAACGTTTGGTGCGGTATAATTGGTTCAAAAATTGTTGGCCCGTTCTTTTATGAGGGAACCCTAACTGGTGAAAGATATGTGGAATTTATGTCAGAAATTCTGACTAATTTCTTAGACGAATTGGATCTTATAAGTAGACATCATCTGCATTTTCAGCAAGATGGCGCACCTGCCCACAACTCCAGAGGTACTTATCATTTTCTAAGTACTACTTTTAATGATCAGTGGATAGGAACAAATGGCCCAATACAGTGGCCTCCCAGATCACCAGATCTAAACCCACTTGATTACTTCTTGTGGGGTTACTTAAAGAACCAAATTTACAAGCGAAGGTACGATAACCTTGACGCGTTAAAGACTGCAGTTAGGGAAAAGATAACCCAGATAGATGGTAGGACCATACTTAAGACAGTTCGAGCAGTTGAAAAACGTGCCCAAAAATGTATTGAAGAACAAGGTGGTGTTTTCGAGCATCTTCTTTAAAAAAAATTGTTATTGTATTTTGTAAGATTATAAGTTGATGTTGAAAATAAAGTTTGTCGATACAATTTAATTGTTTCAGATTGGAGGCCATAACTTCAACAATTTGTAACCTAGGAGAAAAGTTATTGTAAGCTTTTTTGTTTAAAATTTGATGCTTTAACAGAAAAAAATATAATATACAGGGGTTTCCATTTAAAAAAATGTTATTTTACTGAAAAAAATCAAAATAACGACTCTCAATTGTTTTTTTTATTTCTCATTTTTACCAGCGTTAAAAATGCTACTAGTTTGCTGATTCAAACAACTTTGTATTTTCACTAATAACAAAGTTACTAATGGTGGACACTTAATTTGGATAACCCTGTATTTCCAAGTTGTTGAAACTTGAACTAAAATCAATCAAAATTTAGATGAAATTGTTCCTTAATGAAATTTACAACGTACAACTGTTAACAGAAAATTAATAACTATTATCAATATTGAATTTTCAATGTAGTAGAAAACATTTTGTGCTCAAGGTTAGTTAGAAAAAGACGATTTGTATTTTGCGGTGCATTATATACAAAGCCACAGTTTGTATATACATGTATGCAGGTACTGTGTAATGTTTATTCCTATACTTGCACCTCAGAATGCATCCAATCTTCAATACTAAAGTAACTTCGTCCTGTGGAAATTGGAACAAGATTGAATAGAATGTTTACTCAGTTAAGGTGTAGTTTTTCTCTTTACACCGAAGCAACCGCGTAGGCTGAAGCCTAAATGCCAGGACACCGCGCCTGCTATGAGGTTTTTTGTTACTCCAATTTTTGAACTGAATAAGGTAGAAAAGAGCTAGATCGCCGACGGGCTCCGAGACCGTCTGTTCGAGAAGAGTCATCGATCAGTCGGACAGCCCTCCTCCGCACAGCATCGAGCATAAATAATGTAGTCTTTTCTCAGTAGCTGTCGCTATTGACGAGATGTGTTCGTGCCCGACCAAGTCCTCGGTGATCTAAACTCCGACCAGCCGAATTGAACGTTATTGTTCTTTAATACAGACATCAAATCTTAGGGTATGCCTAAGGTTGCCTTGTTGATCAAAAATTTACGAAAACAGTAGTATTCAAGATACGATGCATAGGATTAAAATATATATCAATGGTTTTTGATGCGCTCTCAGTACATTCAGTGAAGAGCATTTTTGTGCAACACATACTTAAAAATAATAGCATAGTGCAACCTACCAGCCACACGCAAGAGTGAAGGGAATGTCTACAACAAAAAAGTTAAAATTTAAAGAGAGAGAGATAGAAAGAGACAGGTATACAGGAGAGGCGTTCCATTTCCAGTACTTGTCAATATTTGTCGTTGTTTATATCATCTTCATTATTATAAAATTTGACAACTCTCGCTCACTGAATTGTCAATGAATAAGCTGTTTTTATTAATTAATGTTTCACAAGGTTTGCGGCGAAGATATAGGGTTCCTTAAGAAGAATGGTTCGTAGAGAAAATACCTGGATGCAAAACATTTAGAACATCTTACTAGACGTCTGTATTAAACCTTGACTCTTTTGGGTCAGATGATAGAGGTAAGCCCTCGATAGTTAGACATTTGAAAGACGTAGTCAAAGTTAAACATTCAAAAACCTAAATAGAGAAAAATAAAATGTATTCTCTTGAAATATTTAAGTGCTTGGGAAAACTAGTTACTTCGATTAAGATTAATTTCTGCATGAGGCATTGGACATTACCACCAATAGGTATATCTAACTTTGAAAAACACGCGTATACAAAAAGGAAATGTGAATACTCGATATCGAAAATTTTTCCTACGATTTTTCATTTTCAAGTTATCCCAAAATTTCGGAATCTCTCGAACACCCTGGTATAGTCAACGCCAAACAAAGTGGCGTGCACGTCATCACGATAAAAATTCCCCGACCTAATGCCTAGGTTTCTATCACAAACAATTGCTCTATTGCAGTTTCATATTAATGTGATATATAAATTGTAAAATGGTCATTACTCTCTTATTATGGTTAATAGTCATATAAACATTGTTATTAAAATATCACATAAGTTGCTTTCTGATAAATTTAGACGCATTATGCGAAATAAAATGTTTTGCAAACGCTCCAATCACTTATCGACATGTAAACGCACTAAACCGATTTCGCAGCGTTGACACATTGTCACCTTGAAACTTATTTAAACTGGGAACTGACATTTGTATTAATTTTGACACTGAATCAATTTGTGGCATTTCAAATCTTTATAAATCCTTTGGCCCCGCATACTGTAAATCAACAACTGTTTGTTTCAAAACAAAATTATTCATTTTACGAGTAGATAAAGGCAATTTTGGTATATAAAGATGCCCAAACAGTTAAATAGTCGGTGTAAGGAACTCGTGGCCTCATTAATGCACTACTTTGAGCAAGAAAGGGACAACAACGGGCCTTTGTTGCCTTTAAATGCTGTTCAAGAGGTAGGTTACTAATAATTATATGTAATGTATATTAATAATAGTGAAATTTTATTTCATTTTTTGTAGCGTGTTGCTGCTGCTTTAAAAATTAGTTTAAGGACAGTTAGTCGTATTTCCGAGCGTGTGAAAAGTGATGCAAATTTAGAATCGCCCAAGAAAAAGCGGAGTTATATTAAACGTGTAACCAACACAGCGACATTGGATACAAGTGCCATTCGAGAAGTGATCTATAATATGTATCACAAAAGTAAGATCTTATTATAATAACTTATCAGAAATTTGCATTAATTTGTTAACTAAATTATAATGTCATATTACACATGGTTTCAGAAGAACAAGTTACGATACAAACTTTATGGTCTCGATTAAGAGATAGGGCATTATTTGATGGTAGTGCCACGTCTTTAAGGCGGTTGCTTAGAGATCTTGGATTTAAGTGGCTTAAGGACAATCCGCGACGAGGGCTCATGGAACTACCAAGTATAGCTTTGAAAAGGGTGGAATTTCTAAGGCAATACAATCAAGCCAAGGTTGAGGCCTTATACCAGTTTCTCTTCCTCGATGAAACTTGGATATTTCAAAATGGGACCATAGGTCGCTCTTGGCAAAATGGAAACCAAAAAAGCGTGAAAGCTATTAAAACAGATGGTAAAAGGTATGTACTTTTACACAATTTGCACTATAAAATTTAAAACTAATATATTTTAGATACATTATATTACATGCTGGAAATGAAAATGG